TTTACACCACTGCATCCAACGCTTTGCATTGCACTTGGTGATGTAAGGATTGGATGCAGCTGCTCGGCCATGGAAACCCATTCCATGGAGCTCTCTACACACTGTTGTTGTGCTAATCTGAAGACCACATGAAGTTTGGAGGTCTTTAGCTATTGACTCTGCAGACAGTTGGCGACCTCTGCGCACTGTGCGCTTCAGCATGTGCTGACCCCGCTCTGTCATTTTACGTGGCCTACCACTTCATGGCTGAGTTGCTGTTGTTCCCAGTTGCTTCCACTTTGTTATAAGACCAGTTGAGTGTCAAATAATTAGTAGCCAGGAAATGTCACGGATGGACTTATTGCACAGGTGACAACCTATCACGGGACCACGCTTGGAGTCACTGAGCTCCTGAGAGCGACCCATTCTTTCACAGAAGTTTGTAGAAGCAGTCTGCATGCCTAGGGGATGATTTTATATACCTGTGACCATGGAGGGGATTGGAACACCTGAATCCAATGATTTGGAGGGCTGGCCAATACTTCTGGCCAATAGTGTATGTCAGGGTCTATACCTTGTCTGTTCAGAGAAAGCCTTGCAATAAGTGAAAAAAATGCAATATGTTTTCTGAATGGAGAGGAAGAAGAGTGAGCGACCCGCTGTTATCACTTTAGGAATGGCGGAATTTACAGATGCTGGGCTGAAAGATCAAAGCTGACAGTGGTATGGGCCATAACAGAACTAAGATTTATAGCATCCCCAGCAGCTTTTTCAGCGTATTTTAGTGTTTGTGCATTAGACTTTAGCTGCGTTTTGCAGTGTTTTTTCGTGTTTTTGCAGTTTTTAGCATTTTGTTTTGCTCTAAAAAAGTCCAAAATCGCCAGTTTGCCGTGATTTTATTATTATTATTATTTTCACAGTATTTATAAAGCGCCAATAAGTGTTCGCTCAGCGCTGTACATTACAAAGGGGGGGACAGAACATGTGACAGAACAATACCAATACAATGCAAAACATGAGGGGATCGAGGGCCCTGCTCTTTCCAGCTTACAATCTAGGAGGGAGGGGATGGTGGCACAGAGGAGGATAGCTGTGGGGGATGGAGTGGTAGGAAGAGTGGAGGAGGTCGGCAAGTTAGCAGGGGATGGGGTAGGCTTCCTGAAGAGATGAGTTTTCAGGGTGGCGCCTCTAAAGGAGAGGAGAGTAGGTGATAATCTGATGGGTTGGGGCAGGGAGTTCCAGAGGATGGGTGACACCCTGGAGAAGTCCTGGAGGCGGGCAACGGGAGGAGGAGACCAGGGAACTAGATTTACTGTGTTTTTTACCACAATTTACCACGTTTTACCGCATTTAGCCACGTTTTGTTCAGCGTTAGAGCGTTTTTCAAGCTAAAAAACTCCTCTAGAAACCCACTAGTCCTGGGGGGTTTTTTCCAGCCAAAAAAATTTTGATTACAGTCTATGTGTGCACGGACACATAGGATAACATGGTGGAGGGTTTACTGGCTGTAGAAAAAATGTCAAAAGCCAAAAACAGCCGCTGTAAAAATATCCAGTGTGCATGAGGACTTAGAAGTAACTACCGTATTTTTTCGCCGTATAAGACGCACTATTTCTTCCCCAAAACTCGGGGGGAAATGTCAGTGCGTCTTATAAGGCGAATATGAAGGGCTGGTCCGGTATTTCCACCGCGGCCGTGTCAGAATACCGGGCCGGCCGCTCAGCTCTGCAGCAGGACCTTACCTGTTCCTCTATCCGGTGGCGCGCTGTCTTCCCGGCTTCTGTAGTGTGGGCGCTGGGCATGACAGCCGCGTGCCCAGTGCGCATGCGCGAGAAGCGGTGTGGCGCTTTGTGAATGGTAAGGCGGTACCTGGGACACATGACAGATCCCAGAAGCCGCCGGACCAATCACAAAGCGCAAGTGCTTCTCGCTCATGCGCACTGCGCACCCTGCTGTCATGCCGAGCGCTATTACAGAAGCCGGGGGAAGACAGCGCGCGGCTGGATCGAGGAACAGGTAAGATCAAAAACTCTGCGGAAGTAAGAGCGGGTACCTGTCAAAATCAGGTACCCGCTCCCCACTTCCCAAAGGTCAGCAGTCATCTGTACTGTCCGCAGTCTCTGGTCATCCCTGTGCTGTCCGCAGTCTCTGGTCATCCCTGTGCTGTCCGCAGTCTCTGGTCATCCCTGTGCTGTCCGCAGTCTCTGGTCATCCCTGTGCTGTCCGCAGTCTCTGGTCATCCCTGTGCTGTCCGCAGTCTCTGGTCATCCCTGTGCTGTCCGCAGTCTCTGGTCATCCCTGTGCTGTCCGCAGCCTCTGGTCATCCCTGTGCTGTCCGCAGCCTCTGGTCATCCCTGTGCTGTCCGCAGTCTCTGGTCATCCCTGTACTGTCCGCAGTCTCTGGTCATCCCTGTACTGTCCACAGTCTCTGGTCATCCCCTGTACTGTGTCTGCAGTCTCTGGTCATCTCCTGTACTGTCTGCAGTCCATTAGTTCAGAATTTTTTTTCCCGTTTTCTGCCTCTAAAACCTAGGTGCGTCTTATGGGCAGGTGCGTCTTATACCTAGCAAACACCAAAAACATTTTTTCCCAGGCCACGCAGTAAATATGTTTCTATACGGAGAGAGTGTTAACCAGAAAATCTGCCCCTTTATTCTAACATTAGCTTACTGGTTTAATTTACTCTTTCCGAAAAACTGATCCCTAGGAAGGAAAATGCTTCATCTCTTTCCTACCGGTCTTAATAAGCAGCTGAGTGAAAGCTCCTACACCTGTGTTATTAAATTGCAGTCATATGATTGGCGTCTTTCTGGAGGGGACAGAACGCTGTATGGTGTCACTGCATGCTGTCAAAACAATGATCCTATATAATCATTAAGACTGTATCTGTTCTAATGTGTGACCATGTGGAGAATAGAGACCCCCTGGCAGAACACATAATCACAGCCATGTACTGCAATTACTGGGCTTTGTACCTGTGATTGAAGAGATGATGGCAGCATGAAACAGGTGTACATGATATAGTTTTCTAGCTGCCTGTGTGTCCGTTGGGAGAATTAACCCTCACTTCCTGTTCTGTCTGAGATCGGCCAAAGAGAAAAGGAAGTGGGACGATTTTCCTTCACTTCCTGAACCCCCTCCCATATGCAAGAAAATATATATTTGAAATATTTTTCCCAAATACATTGACATATATTTGAAATGCTACAATTTTGCTCATATTCATTATATTTAAAAAAAAAAAAATATATATATATATATATATATATTATACTGCGTGTTGTGTTTGAAATGCATTTTTATTACAAAATATATGAAAAATGTTTTAAAAAATACATTTCAAATATACTGTATGTCTTTAAAAATACAAATCTAAATTTTTGGAATGCATTTACAACTATATGTAAAAAATATATGTTAAAATTAATTTTTTATGTTAAAAAAAATCTGAAGAATATATTTTAACAAAATATATTTTTAAAAAGTCTTTTCGTGAGGGCTGAATACCAAAACTCAAATGCAGTTCGAATTCTGAAACAAATTTTCTTGAAAATCAGAAATTTTGTGTGTTTTGCAATCTGATGGTGCCGCCATTGATTTTGAAATTCGCCCAATCAAGCCTTCAATTTCACCTTATGTTGCTACCCAAAAGAATTTTAGTTTCTGGGAATCTTCTTTTCTTTCCAGATCACAGCTGATGATCATTTCTTTTTTGATTATATTTCTCGCACGATTCCATCATTGATTAGAAATGTGTTAGTTTTTCAAAAAAAACTTCCAACATGCCAATTATTCAGGTTTGATGGCCGCACAAAAATCAGCCAATGCTGCGGCCCACTAATGATGGGAAATTCAAATGAAAATTCTTAGTTACAGTTTTTAAAAGAAAATTTGCACAAAATTCGACCCATGAACGGCCTGCATTACTCTGATGCTTGTTTAATAACTGGAGCCCACATAGAAGAAAAATATATTTGAAATATATTTAAAAAAATATTCTTCCCAAATATACTGCCATATATTTGAAATGCTACAATATATATATATATATATATATATATATATATATATATATATGTATTTATTTATTGAAATATATTTTGAAATATATTGAATATGGCCAAAATTGTAGTATTTCAAACATAGGGCAATATATTTTTCTTCCATGTGGGTACCCCCACAAGAAACCGCTTGATAGATCAGGTTCTCTGTTCTTCTGCCTCGACTCTGAGAACAACCTCAGCCCCATTGACATACCAGGTTAAGCAAATGGATTCTCACTGCCACTGGGAGCACAAATATAGATACCGTATTTTCCGGCGTATAAGACGACTTTTCAACCCTGAAAATCTTCTGAAAAGTCGGGGGTCGTCTTATACGCCGGTGCGAGCCGTTGTCAGGGCGGCACTTTTTCGAGGGGCGGCGTGGCGCGGCACCGCCCCCCCCCCTCCTCCTCCAACGGGACACTAAGAACAGGGGTGGACAGAGGGGCTGCTGTACCTTACTGGCTCCGGTCCAACGACGATTCGGTCCAGGAAGCGTGGCTGCCTCCTTTCAGTTCGGCCGCTCGATGGTCACGCGGCCGCTCGGCTCCGCCTCCTCACCGGTGATTGGGCGCCAGCACTGGAAAGGCACACAGGCGACAATCACCGGCGAGGAGGCGGAGCCGAGCGGCCCCGCGCGAAATCGAGCGGCCGCACTGGAAGAAGGAGCAGCCGCTCCTCTCCCCCACTGACACTAACGATGGGGCACTGTTCCTCCCCCCACTGACACCAATGATGACGCACTGTTCCTCCCCCACTGACACCAACGATGAGGCACTGTTCCTCCCCCACTGACACCAAACGATGAGGCACTGTTCTCCCCACTGATACCAATGATGGGGCACTATTCCTTCTCCCCACTGACACCAATGATGGGGCACTTATTTCTCCCCACTGATACCAATGATGGGGCACTATTCTTCCCCCACTGACACCAACGATGGGGCACTATTCCTCCCACTGACACCAACGATGGGGCACTATTCCTCCCACTGACACCAATGATGGGGCACTATTCCTCCCACTAATACCAATGATGGGGCACTATTCCTTCTACTGACACCAATGATGGGGCACTATTCCTCCCACTGACACCAATGATGGGGCACTATTCCTCCCACTGACACCAATGTTGGGGCACTATTCCTCCCACTGACTAATGATGGGGCGCTATTCCTCACACACTGACACTAATGATGGGACATCATTGGTGTCAGTGGGAGCAATAGTGTCCCATCATTGGTATCAGTGGGAGGAATAGTGCCCCATCATTGGTGTCAGTGGATGAATAGTGCCCCATCATTGGTGTCAGTGGGAGGAATAGTGCCCCATCATTGGTGTCAGTGGGAGGAATAGCACCCCTATCATTGGAATACCATACTGAAATACCATACCATATTGAAATCAAATCTGATGTTTTTTCATTTTTATTTGGTGTGTGTTGGAAGAGGGGTAGTCTTATACGGCGAGTATAGCTCAAAACCCTATATTTTAACAGGAAAAGTAGGGGGTCGTCTTATACGCCCAGTCGTCTTATACGCCGGAAATACGGTACTCTTCCTGCACCAGGGGTGGACTGACAACTCATGGGGCCCCGGGCAATAGGGGATCATGGGGCACCTGTGTCCTTGACCAAACTCAAAAAAGCCTATGAAAAAGGTACCAGGGGCATCTCATGGGGCCCCCTACTGACCCCGGGCCCTCGGGCAGTGCCCGAGTTTCCAAATGGTCAGTCCCGCCCCTGCTCTGCACACAACTAAGGTTTAGTATCAAAAAGCAGACGTCAGACTGGTTAGCGGTAAATGAACCCAATGTATTGTCACGGGTTGCAGTAAATAGCAGTATACACATAAATGAGTAAAGGATTACTTAACCACTTGCCCTTCTGAGGATTTCCCCCCTTCCTGACCAGGACATTTTTTGCGATGCTTTAACTGACAATTGCGCGGTCATGCAAACGCGCTGAAATTTACGTCTTTTTTTTCCCACAAATTGAGCTTTGTTTCAGTGGTATTCAGTCACCTCTGCGTTTTTTATTTTTTGTGCTTATAAACAAAAAAACCCGACAATTTTTGAGAAAAAAAATTATATTTTTGACTGTTTGCTATTAAACATGTCCAGTAAAAAAAAATTTTAAAAATCAAATTTCGTCATAAATTTAGGCCAAAATGCATTCTGCTCCATGTCTTTGCTAAAAAAAATCCCAATACGTGTAAATTAATTGGTTTACGTGAAAGTTATAGCGTTTACAAATGGCTGTATATATACTGGAATTTTTTTTCACTAGTAAATGGCGGCGATCAGCGACTTATAGCGGGACTGCGGCGGGAATTCTGACACTGGGGGGGAACTTACTTGGTGTCACTGACATCCCCTGTGACACCAATACAGTGATCAGTGCTAAAAAAAAATGCACTGACACTTTAACTAATGACACTGGGCTGGAAGGGGTTAACATGAGAGGCGATCAATAGGGTTAACTGTGTGCAGGGAATGTTTTACTATGGGGCTGGTGTCTGTGTGCTTCATTCAAAGCAGTGTAACCTTGCTAACAGGGAGGAGAACTGTTAGTAAACAAAACAGTTCTCCTTCCCATCGGAGATGCTACGGCAATCACCGGAGCAGCGCTGGCGAGTAATCACCTTGCTGGGACCCGGTGATGGACCGTGAATTTGACCAGCCTGCGACCGTGAATGGTGACACGGGTAGGTCGCGCACGCCCCTATCAGGAAATGTTAAAAATCAAGTATATATACGTGATTATTGCGCACCAGAAACATCCAATACCCCCGTGCCAACCGCTGTAGCAGCTATATTCTGTGCAGTAGCGCGAACGGGAAGCAAGTTAATACACAATTCACTGACAATATGAGACTCTAACTATAGCAGTAGTATAGAATAGAGTTCCTGTGTAGCTAAATTGAGCAGTAAACACCGGGTAATTCATTATTAATCAGCAATAAGTAATTTGCATGCTGAATTTTTACATGTAGAGAAATAAGTGTCAGATATTGACATAAAGTGGGTAAAACAAGAAAAATAGAATTAATACCTTCCTATGATATTTACTAAATGCTAGTAGTATAAAGGATTGCAAATAGTTAAAGTGCTTACTATAACCCACACAGTACCATCTGTGTCAGTATATGCTCAGTAAAGCATGCTCGTGATATACTCACTGTGGAAACCTAAGAGGTTAATCCTTCACATTGTGGTAAAAAAGGCCTGATTTGATCTAATCCTCTTCTGATCCTCCCCTTCTTCTGACTGTACTGTCCCCAACCCACACCTGCTGATAGTTACAGAGCTCTAGGAGTCACTCTGCACATAGCTCAGGTTTAGCGTGTAAATGCTAGAAGAGTTTTTTTTCTCTTTGGGGAGGGTGCATGTGATCAAGCACAGGGGCCAGTCCAGCACTGGTCCAGACAGCAGGGTCAGGGGATTTGTTGCAGCAGCCTCATAGGACAGTCAGAGGAGAATGAAAACTCCTCCTACCGATTAACCAGTGTTTTCAGCTGACACAGGTAGAATCACAAGACTGCTATATACTGCCGAATGAAGAAAGGTAATTTAGCAGTTTAACAATTCTGCTAAAATAATTGTAATTCCCTTTTTTGTGTGTACTGTAGAAGTTCAGATAAGTGAATGCAGGGTCCTTGAGGAGACCAGATATATGGAATGCAGAGTCTGGGGAGACCAATATGTGAATGCAGGGTCTGGGGAGACCAGATATAGTGAATGGCAGGGTCTGGGGAGACCAGAATATAGTGAATGTAGGGTCTCTTGGAGACCAGATATAGTGAATGCAGGTCCCGGGGAGACAGATATAGTGAAGGTAGGGCCAGGGAGACCGTATCTAGTGAATCCAGTCTGGAGACCGATATAGTGAATAGCAGAGGGCCGGGAGACCGAGATATAGTAATGCAGGGTCCAGGGAGACAAAATAGTAAATTTCCCCCCAGGGGGTTCCGGGAGACCAGAAAATAGTGAATGCAGGGTCCGGGGGGACCACTAAAAAGGGGAATACAGGGTCCTAGAAAAGCCCCAATATGGGTGAATGCGGGTCCTGGGAAAACCCAGAATATAGTAAAATGCAGGTCCCGGGGAGACCACCCTAAGGAATGCAGGGTCCTGGGTAGACCGATATGGTGAATGCAGGGCCCGGGGACCAATATAGTAAAAGCAGGGCCCGGGGAAAACCCAAAGAGTAGTGAATGCGGGGTCCCGGGGGAGGGGCGAAATTTTGTGAATGCGGGGCCCGGGGGTAACCAGATTAGTGAAGGGCAGGGCCCTGGGAGCCCAGATTTTTAGTGAATGCGGGGTCCGGGGAGACCAATATAGTGAATGCGGGGTCCTTGGAGACCAATAAAATGAATCCCAGAGTCGGGGGATACCGGGATATAGTGAATGCAGAGTCTGGGGAACCAGTTTATAGGGGAAATGCAGAGTCGGGGGAACCAGATTGTGAATGCAGGGTCGGGGAAGCCCAAAATAGTAAAGCAGGGTCTGGGGAACCAGATATATTTAAATGTAGGGCCCCCTTGGAGACCAATTTAGTGAATCGGGGCCCCGGGGGAAACCGTTTGTAGTGAATGCGGGGTTTTGGGGAGACCAGATATAGTAATTAAAGGGCCCCGGGGGAGAGGGGAAATATAGGGAATGAAAGGGCCCGGGGGAGACCAGATATAGTAATGCATGGTCGGGAGAGCCCCAATATAGTAAAAGCAGGCTGGGGGAGCCCAAAATATAGTGAATGCAGGGTCCGGGGGAGACCAAAAAATTTTTAAAATGCGGGGCCCGGGGGAAGACCAGCTATTTAAAAGGGCGGGGGTCCTATTTAGACCAAATAAAATTTAAGCAGGGTCCTGGGAGCCCCAGATAAAGTGAATGCAGGGCCCGGGGGAAAACCAGATGTATTAAAAGCAGGGTCCGGGGGGGAGCGAAAAATAGTGAATCGGGGGCCCGGGGGAGACCAGATATATGAATCCCAGGGTCCGGGAAAAGGCCCAAATTTTATAGTAAAATGAAAGGGCCCGGGGGAAGCCCAAATTTATAGTGAATGCAGGGGTCCCTTGGAGACCAGATAAAGTGAATCAAAGCCCGGGGGAGCCAAAATATTAATGCGAAGTCGGGGAAAACCAATATAGTGAAATGCAGAGTCTGGGGAGACCAATATATTGAATGCGGGGGTCTGGGGGCCCAAGATAAGTGAATGCAGGGTCGGGGGAGACCAATATAGGAAAATTAGGGCCCTTGGGGAGACCAATATAGTGAAACCCAGGGCCCCGGGGAAAACCAATGAAAGGGGAATTTCAGGGTCTGGGGAACCAGAAATAGTGAATGAAAGGGTTTTGGGGAGAGGGGGTTTAAGTGAATGCAGGGTCCGGGAGACCAATATATTTGAATGAAAGGTTTTGGGGAGCCCAATATAGTGAATGCAGAGTCGGGGGAAAACCCCAATATAGTGAATGCAGGGTCCTGGGAGACCAAAATAGTGAATCAGGGCCCGGGGGGGGAAGACCAGCTAGGGGTTAAAAGCAGGGTCCTAGAGCCCAATATAGTGAAGGGAAAAGGGCCCCTGGGAAAACCAATATAGTGAATGCGGGGCCCGGGGGAAAAACCAATATAATTGAAAGCGGGGTCCGGGGAGCCCAGAAATGGTTTGGAATGAAAGGGCCGGGGGAGACCAAATATAGCGAATGCGGGGCCCCGGGGTTTTTAGTAACACTTTAGGGCGGGTTTTAAAAGGGGTTTAGAAAAAGAAAATTCACACAAGGGTATGCCAAGGACTGGGTTTTCCCCCTTCCCCAAAAAGGGGTTCTAACTGCATCGGCCCAAGCCAGACTCCTAGCAGACCTCCGGGAGAAGTTATGTTTTGTTGTGAGAAATGCTTTCAAAATTTTGGGGAGTTTTTTTTTTCCCCTTTAA